CCAATGTTTACTGATTTACTCAACGAATATCTCGGTAAACCTTGCCAAAGATCCTTTATAACGGACCCTGTTGTGTGATGAACTTCCGTGTGGACTCTCCCAAAAGTTATCATTTAATTTACATCTCAACACTAGCATGACTAGCTGATTTCGCAAAAAACCGCGACACGTGGCAAAGGACTTGATCTTTAAAGGAGAAAAGAACGTATAATATCACTACAAACACAGCAAAGGTACTCGTAAAGTTGACAGTCTCCAATTCTTTTAACAAGTTGGAACTTCTGAAAGTTTTATTTTTTACCGAGCGCATTCTAATCTGAAATAGCATACCGATAACTTTATTCGTAATACAAGCTGATAGCAATTATTTTAACTGAATTCTCGAATTTCAGGAAATCCTTTTCTAGGAACGTATGCAAATGATTGACTTTGTTTTCCCTAAACAAAGTTTATAGGCAGCCTCCAGAGAGTTGTTAACTTCAAAAGAAATTGATATTCAGTTCTTAGAATGTCGGCAAACGTGGCCGGAGCGATGAATATAACGTTGTCCATTTTGAGCTGCTTCAACTTCACATCACAAAGAATTAGTGAAACCTTCGCTTATTGTCTGCAATTTGTTGTCTCACTGGTAGGAAATGCCCTCATTGGATTAATTGTATACAAGACGAAAATCCTCAGAAAGCCCACCAACTTTTTCATTGTAAACATGGCCATGTCCGATCTGCTGTATCCGATTTTCCTGTTTCCTCAGGATTTAGAACGGTTACACATCAATATTCAGCCTTGGTTAATCGGCGGTCCTCTTGACCAAGTGTTGTGTAAACTGATTCACTTCGCAATAGACGTCTCATCTACTATTTCAATTCATAGCCTGGTTTTGATAGCAGTGGATCGATTCGTAGCTGAGGTATTTCCCATCCGTTCCCCACTGATCAGTTCAAAACACTGCAGGTTCTATATCCTCGCCACTTGGATCATTGCCTTGGCTGTCTGGTGCCCAAACTTGCTCGTCTATACCCTTGTCGAGTATCCAACGAAGCAGTACTGCATGCCACAATGGAATGGCGCATTTGATGACTTCAAGTCCTTCCTAGACTACAATATAGCATGGTGCGTTGTCCTCTTGTATGTCACTTTGGCTTTAATGTCCATTCTTTATTTTGTCATTGCCTTAAAACGTTTAAATGAACGTTTTCATTCTCAGGTGTAAACAGCTGAAAGAAGACCGCTAAACGTTCAATAGTCGCCGTAAGCAGTACTATTTGCATTTAACGTCACGCTTTCTCTATTTTAAAACAACGTCCTTTCTCGTGCGTGATGATTCTGAGACCAGCTGTCAAGCTTCGTTCCATATCATTAAATAAGTCTATTTCGCTACTCGCCATCCCGTCATGTCCTCAATTTTTGTTCGTTTTAAATTCAAATCCAGTCCTGCATTGAGCTATCTAACTCAGGAAGGAGCCACCATTTATGTGTAGAAAGAACTTATTCAATGACTGCATGAGAGACAATATTTCCCAACACAGTTCGAGCAAGGTGGGCAAGTAGTTCATTATTATATTGCACTCGAACTTGTTAATTTTGAATTTTTTTTCTTGAATTTGCTTTCGCGTTCAAAATAGACGGTTTAAGACCGTTTCCGTAATCAGCAAAGTTTGTTTGCACCTGTGATATCGGTAACTAAGGTATTGTTTGAAAGTAGTCATCATCGTCAGAAGTCTTACAACTCCTCTTCAGTTCATTTCTTCCGAGAAAAAACTGAAAATAGCGTTTGGTATAAATTGACTCGTACTAAAAAAATGAAAAGCCCAGAATATCGGTTTAACTCAATACAGCCCATTTGAAGGAAAAAGAAGTATTAAAGGGGGCCAAGGAGACGAGAGAGTTGTAAATTTTTTTTTTTGTTTTTCAACGCTAAAGGGAAACGTAGCAGGAGAATTTCGAGAAAGCAAATTAAAATTAAGCCCAGTTGGCTTGCTAGACATCCATGGCGACTTGAAAGTGATCGTTAAACTAAACGTAAAACAGCGAATAATTACGTCGTTTGACTGAGCGGACCTGGGAAGTTTATTTTACAAATGAGTGAAAATATTCGAAAAACAAATTATTGAGCACAAGATAATTCATTTGAAAGAGTATAAAACCTAGATTGTCCTAAATCAAGATGAAAATTATTGAAAGAGGTGTTTCTTTTTTTTTCCTGTTCTCTATTGTGGGTTTACATCTCAAGTACAATTAAGCGCGCGTTGTTGCAACTCAACTCTTCAGCTTAGACATCCTCAGCTGAAACTCAGTTCCATGAAAAACATTTCCCTTGTAAATTTGGCCGTTAAATGGTTAGATTAATTGGCCGTAAGCTTTAAAGTGAAAATTGTCAGGACTCTCGATTCGTTCGAGCTCAAAAAAACGCTGGACGTTGTGACGAGAAGGTGGTCGTATTAACCGATTGTTCATAAGGCGAGGTTATTTTATGATTTATCAAGAGAAGATAATGAGACTTCATTTCCTCTTGGTTTTAGGAATTGAATTTTTACGAATTGGTCCATAAACTTCTCTCCTTTTTTGTTTTATTTCCGCGTTTGAGAAGATTGGACTTCAACTTATCCAGGAAGCTTTAAACGGAAGTCTCCATCAATCATTTTCCCGATGTGATCGCGTGCAAGTCAGTCATCTGTCCTCCCCCATCAGACGTAGCGGAGGCTTTGTCTGACTTTGTTATACCGACTTCAGCAGCTGCGTAATTTTGTCCAGTGAAAAACAAATTCTCCCGGTGACAAAGAAATATTACCACCAAATGCGTAAATTAGAAATCGGTTCTTTATTTCAGCTCTTATTTTTAGTCAGTAATTAGGCCATTACTGTGTGATTCCTTTTCCTGTCTGATTTACGTTACCAAACCAATAGTTTCGAAGTACATCTTTCGGTGGACATGAATGTAAGGCAGTACTTGCATGCTTTGGCAGAATAACTTTAACTTAAGTTGAGGTTAGTAAAATTTTCATTTATGCAGCCGGTTTCTTTTATATTTTTAACGTCATTATCAATGTTTGCTGTCAAAAAATGGACATCAGTTGCAATAAGTGGCAGCCCGAATTTTGAATAACGCGATCAATCGATTGTTATGGAAAATTTACTCTGGGCGATGGCGTGTAAACATCTCTATCAAATTTAGAGTCATCTGAAACTTGCCATGAGAAAGTCAAACAGCCTGGATCAAGACTCTCTCTTGAGATCCTAAGAACTTCCTCAAAGACAGGTATGATCCAAAAACTTTGTCTTCCAATGCATTTCTAGAAATTCGAGGGTTACACACTTGAGTTACTATAATTAGCAATAGAGGGAACAACAAATGGTGATTATGTTACAAAAGTGCAAGCCAGCGTTCTGATGACAATAATAACCTTTCAAATTCGAAGTTGACTTTCACCGATAAAATATAAATTTCTTCTTTTTCAAGTTTAGCTTTAAAACATTCGCGACCTAATCATCCAGTGACCGTTTCAGCTTTCAGGATAGTTGACTTGTAAAGACGGAGAGTGAAGAGTAGAGTTAGCCTTTTCGAGATTTCTAGAATAGTTTTATTCCAGCAAACGAGCCACAGACTACTTGGTTTTATGAGTTGATAATGTGAATTGACCTCTATAGAGATTCTGACACTGATGTCTCGAGCATTAGCCCTTCGTCAGAGCGAAGGTATCAAGGCCTGCTGTTTTCTTGCTTGCTCATTCAGCAAAAACGAACAGTTTGTTTCCGCTCAGTGTGTCGGTCGCATGTATGTCTGGCTACTTGAAGAGTACAGCTGATCTCAGGACTAAGTCACTAAAACATTCTAGACCTCAAAACAGTTATATACAAAATAATCGAGATTGACGAAAGGAACTGGTCAAACACGGATCTGCCGGACAGTTATTTTTTGAACAGAATATTCGCCATTCCTAATACTCTGAAATATATTTGATAAAATGACCATGAATTGAAAATGAGAACAATGTAATTTAGCACTGTATGATTATTACCAAAAAACATCTTTATTCTGATAACCTTTTCTTTTAGTTCTCAGAGAATGTTGATATAAAGGAAAGTAATGAATAAATTCTGAAGAGTTCTTGTGAGAAAAACTAAAGAAATGAAAAATAAGCTTTTAGGCTTCTTGGTATTTGATATGTAAATCCTCTTTCAAATGGAAAATAATCTGAGAGTGTTTTGCTGTAATGTTTAAAGGGCGGAAATTACAAATCACCTTCATTTGCAGTGCAACAACTGCTGCAATCTGAAACACAAATTAACACGAGATAGAGCAGTTACTCTACGGGCAGGGTCGTTTTCACATTTCACAGGTATTTTTCTTTTTCAATATTATTCTGCAAACAAGTCAGCGCAGTCAAAAGCACTACACTTATTGAGCAGAGTCAATTAAAATAATAAAAAAAAAACTATGGCCCATCGAATCAGTTGTTTCATCCCAGTGACAGTCAGTAATAATAATCATCTGAGCTCTTTCTTAATTACTCGAAGACATTATCAGTTTGCAAATGCATTTCAAACTGATTTGCAAAGGACGGTTTGGTCACTTACCAAATATGATTAAGACACCATCAGTGCTTGCGCAATCTGTTTCAAGCAACATTGATTAATTTTTCGAGCCATCGAATTTTGGTTTAAGCCAATCGGATGCTAGTGAGATACATATAGTTATACACCCTTCTATTTTCATTTTTGCACGCTTAGCAAAGAAAAAAGGTTCTGCAGTGTTTGCCATGAATGAGTCAGAAAATGCGATTAACTCGACCGCCTCGTCTTCCATTTACAATTTGCATCACCTCAATAGTCTATTTTAAGCTTTTATCTGAGATCATTCTTGATTACCAGTTGACAGTATAAGTTCACCAATACATTTTAAATTTATTTTAAAATGATGGCCTGGTCACTTACCGAACTTGTTAAAAAGATTAAAACTGTCAGCGAAAATCTCGTTTTATTCATGCAACCTTTGACTTTGGTTTCAGCCAATCAGATGTCAGTACATATATGTATATTTGTAATTGTCACAGCCAGCAATGTCTCTTACGTTTTCCATTTTTTCAGGCCTAGCGAGGAAAAAAGGGTTCTTATTCGCCATGAATGAGTCAGAAAATGCGATAAACTCGACTGCTTCGCCAGCCATTGAAAATCTTGATGTCTCACCAATTATGGTCACATGTTCCATATTTTACGTCATCATTATCATCGCCTCGCTAATGGGAAATATCACAGTTTGTGTGGTCACACTAATCACCAGATCCCTGCGGCAATCCATCAACACGTTCTTCACACTCTCCTTGGCAGTTTCTGATCTGATAACAACTTGTCTGGTGATGCCATTTGACTTAGAGATAATCATTTCATTCAAGCCCTGGAGACATGGTGAGATCATGTGCAATGTATGGACGACAACGTACTTATTTGCTGTACCCACGTCCATTCTAAGCTTGTTGGCTTTGACAGTTTATCGATACCGACTCCTACAAGAACCTCTGGACATCTACAAGGCATCGCCACTGATGACTCGCAGGCGCGCCTCTATAGTCGTTTGCTGTTTATGGGCATACTCCGTGCTCTTTTCACTCGCCCCAGTCTTTGGCTGGAAACCGCATCCAAGAAGTGTTTATCGTGAATACTGTCATTTCAACATCTCTTTAACTTATTCGGTGTTAAGTTCGTTCATAAATTTTGTGATACCAGTTTTAATCGCTTCCTTTCTGAACTGCAAAATGTTTTGCGTTGCAGTCAAGCGGACGCATGCTCCAAAAACTGGCCGCAGAACTGGAAAAACTAAACACATGACTGGATTCAGAGCAAAGAGAGGGAAAGTTTCAGTAGCGGAACCAGGAGGCATTGAAAACGCAGCAAGGCTTAATTCAGTCCAAGAGAGCTCCAATTCACCTACCTCAGAACAACAACCTGTCGAATCTATACGATCGCGACATGAAGCCATCCACATCAGGAAATTACAACAACGGAACATTCGTGCAGCCAGGACAACGTTTCTGATCGTTTTCTCGTTCGTGGTCTGTTGGTTGCCTCACTCATTTCTGAGCATCACGTCCATTCTATGTTGGAAATGTGCTATCGATATCGCAAAGCATCATGAATTGCTTACTTTCTTTCTTATGTTGGGTTATCTTAACTCAGCCATTAACCCTGTTTTGTACAGCTTTCGGAGTTCTGAATTTAAGAAGGCAGTTAAGGATTTCATTAAAAGAAGGCGCCCCTTTCAAGGTGTGCAAATCCGGCCAGAGAACACTCGTGCTATGGAAAGGCGAGCACCAACTCTTTAGACTATACCATCCGTTGACGATTTTGGAGTTAATTTGACATCTGACAGTCGACTTGATTGTAAAATGCTACTGCGATTTGTGAAGCATAGTTGTAATTCTCTCGTCACATGCCTTTGACAAAATGAGAGTTAGAAGGAGAGCGCAAATAAAAGTGCTGCTAGGGGAGAAATAGTTTGCATATAACTTAACTTCTTTTTTTAGCCCGAGTTACTCTGTTTCTCTTTCCTTCTCACCTCTAACGTCTGGTTCAACATCATGTACTCCATATTCCAAATAAAGTTGAAATTTTATCTTCTTTTTTACAGTTTGACCCTTCGGTGTTCATGAACGCTACATCATAATAAGTATCTACTGTTTCAAATTCTCGAAGAACAGATTCCTCAATAGTTAAAAATATTACATCTACCGGGGCAGATCTAGGGGTGGTTCGAAAGTCAGTTCTCGGCGAAACTCGTGAATGATAGTACTGTAATTGGATACATAAAAGTATTAAGAATTCGGAGTTCTGAATTTCGGAATTAAGTAAGAATTAAAGCGAGTTTGAAAAACATCTTTTAAAGATGTTTTAGCTTTGGTAGGAAAATGTTATTAGACGACGCCTCTCGTTGGACAGTGAAGACTACATAACTTAAGGAACGACACAGAATCGAAACGAGAATAAGTTTAAAAAAACGAGACAAACGAGTGCATCCATTATTGATGGATTCTGATGCATCGGTAACTGCCTCTCAGTTGACAAAGAGTGGAACCTTCATTTGCCTTCTTTAATCAAAACTTATGGGAAAACCACTCGTGAGATTTCTGTTAACTGAGGAAACTACGAAAAAGATGTATCAACATATCTCTCGATCAAGCTGTTTATTAAATACGAAACCAATAGAAACTTAAATTGAAAGAATTTTCCTTGATGTATCATGAATTGTTTCTATTCATAAGTGGCAGATAGGCGCCGAAAAAATGTATAGGGAATAATTGATGCGCAAGTCAGTAAAATTTCCAATAATTTCGTCACAATTTTTAATAAAATGGGAGTTCTATCCATTGCGTGAGCTAAGACAAAAAAAGTTGACGAAAAAAGGAAAACTGCAAAGATCAAACAGAAGTATGGTGATTGAAGCCTTAAACTGAGTTCGAGGCTATTCTGCAAACTATTTTCCTTTCGTTTCTCATTTAGAGAACTTAAAAGCTCTACAAACATTGTGGCGTTCTTGGAGAGAACAGAGGGCGGCCAACTGGGGTAGGCGAGGCCTAGAACCAAGTATATGTGATCGCAAACGAAGTGCAGGCCAAGAACGTGTCTGACTACCTGGCTTTAGAAACAGGAACAGAGCCTTAAAACATCAGCGTATTTCACGCAAACCATGGCAATGCAATTCTCGGGAAAAGGAAAGCGTACGCATGATCCTGTACGACGAGAACGGTCTGGTTCCAATAATTCCTCTCATGTGTATAACCCCAAAACATATTTAGTCTCATAAAGATCTCGACCCAATCTCTTCTTGCTAAAAGTTTCTATCCCATACCGCAAGGATAATTTTTGCTCTTTCTCGAGAGAAACCAGCCTTCTAACATTATACTTGGGAAACTGAGTAATTTTCAGCCAGAGGGGCTGATAGACTACAGTAAACAATGAAAGACTTGAAGAAGGAAAGGATAGTAGGCACACAAGAAAAATGGTGCATCTTAAGGCCACCAGACAATCCCCATTTTCACCAGATTTTAACAAAATGTTGGTGTTTTAACAGTCTCACAAAGAGAGTCAACAAGTTCCATGGTTACTTTGGAAGAAAGCATGTTACAAACATCTGAAGAAAAACCAGCAAGCGTAGTGTGAAACAATTCACTCCAGTAATATATCTGTCAAGATAATAACTGTTGATTTGTAAATCTATCAATAAATAATTTTAAACGTGGCTTCACAAACACTTTAGAGAGTCTACTTTAGACAACATAGTTTTGATTTCAGGGGGAATAAAGGGTAAGTGAACTTATGTACCACACCAAATGAATGACCAATATTGCACATATGCAAATATTGGCAGGGGTCAGCTGTTCCTCTGACAACTAAAACTGACAATTGTTGCCAGCCTCTTATTTTTTCAATCTCCCCTGACTGAGAGACTGACACAGGCAAAAATATGTGAAAATCAGAAGGTTCAATACATCAGATGACAGCTGTGTGTAGTCAGAGGAGTTTAATTTTGACACATGTTCTGTACATTTCATTGAATGCTGCCAGCATTTGAGGCAATCCTTGGCCACAGATCTGCACATTCCTTGGCTACAGGGCCAGTGATAGCAGAGCCTATAAAAATAACACAATTATCTTTAAAAATACAATCACAAAAAGGATGCAAATTCTATTACTTGATTTGACACCTCACAAAACTTCACCATCAATCTACACATTCAACTTTGATTCAGTCAACAAAAACACTTTGTTAACTAGCATCTTTTTTTCAAATAATTCACATTGTTGTTCACCAAACTGTCAGTTGCAATAAATCCTTGTCAGCTGCATCTCTCTTGTATTAAAAGTCTGTCACAGTTTTCTTTCTTTTACCTTTCATCTCTCCTTTGTTATTCACTATGACTCCTGCATTATCTGTAAAGAAAGAATATCCATACACAATTCTTGTTTACTCAAAATAAAATACAAAGACCCCATAAAGCCTAAGCAATGCTTGACAATCCTCAATTTTCCCTTTTCTTTGATTTTGATTGACCAAGAGCGGAATTATAAGTATACCAGGAAAAAAGAGAGCAAGAGTTCTGAGAGTACTCTATTTCACTTGAATTTTTCAAAATTTCCATGAAATGTCAGACTTTAGATAAACCATGATATTGACACTAATCAATTCTTTGTTTGCTGCATATGCTGTCACTTCATATAAAACCATAAATTAACAATTGGTTCATACATCAGCATGTGTTCAGCGAGATATGAAGCATGCAGGAAGTTTGGAGAGCACGAAAGATGCATAAGGGTTGCTCGAGGTGTAGCCGAGAGCAACTCTAGCTTCTTGAGTGCTCTCCAAACTTCCCAAGTGCTTCATATCTCGATGAACGCACAGCTGACATATGAACCAATTGTTTTATATCATTTTCAATTTTTTTTCGCAATGGATTTGTTTGCTGATGTCATGAGCATGCACAATAGGAATGCGAAGCACACTCGTGCAATTGAATTTGATTACACAAATTTACTACCCATGTTATAATGTTATTTAATTCAGTCACTTGAGTCATGAAGCATACCTTCAAAGTAAATGAACAGCCCATTCTTCCTTCTAAATGCCTTCCGTTGTCTGATAACTACCGCAGGCATTACTAAAAAATAAAAGATTAAAAAATATTTACTAAAAGACAAGCAGAGACTTAGAAGAACATGGTTAATGTCTGAACCCTTTAAACCCTAACATCAGTATACAGCTTCTCCACACTGTTCTCTATTCATTTCCTAAGGTGCTGAAAAGGAGAATTTGTTTGCCAATCAAAAGGTTCCTTCCCTGGTGACCATTTCCATTATTCTTACAACCTTAGCATGTGATTCAGGAGTAATAATGTAGGGAGAAATTGGATGCTAGTCACTCTTAGGTTTTAAAGGGTTGGGTCAAATGATGGCAAGTTTGGATAATTGTTGTATCTGAGAAACCTTGCACCTACCCCTCCCCTAATAGAGTCAAGTGATAACAAGTTAGGGTTAATGTTGGGTTAGGGGAGGGGTAGGTGTGAAGTTGCTCAGCTACTGACATTGACCTCCAGTTCTTTCAACAAGCAAACAAAACAGACAATAGATAACTGTACAATTATGTTAGTGACAACTTAGCCAACATTTAATAGAATAACTTTTGTTTACTAACAATGCCATGCAAAATCACACCCTAAACAGTAGCATGGTGGTTTTTCCTGCTCATAATTACTCTTAACTCTGAGCCTTTCCTACTATGCAGTAGTACATCAAAACATAGCCAAAGAATTTTCCACAGAAGCCTGAAATATCTCCCATCTCCCATGGCAAATACAGATCCTGTTATTGTACTACACTGCACAACTCACCCTTTTTCCTAAGCTCTGGTTTTCCTTTCTTCACTGTTGCCAGAACCATATCACCAGATCCTGCTGCAGGCAGTCTGTTGAGACGGCCCTTTATTCCCTTAACTGCAATGATATACAGATTCTTGGCTCCTGTGTTGTCAGCACAGTTTATTACTGCGCCTACTGGCAGACCCAGGGAGATACGAAACTTCCCTCCGGACGAACCACCACGTCCTAGCATGGAAAATGACATCAAATAATTCACAAACTGGTTGTAAAAATGTGACTAATGAAGTTCTCTACAATTCAGTGTAGAGTTAACTCAATTGAGAATTGACTCTCACGTTCAATTGTTAAGGAAACGTTGGTCTTTGCTGCTAGCAATGATGCACAAAACAGGCGCAGCTATAAAATAAGATGAATCAACGAATCTAACTCTCCACTTAACATGAAAATAAAACCTTTTACGGCTTACACAGTGTGACTAAGATTTAATATTTGGTGAAAAAATAATCCTAACCAAATCCTCTTGTTTCTTTCGACTGACAATATTATTTTATAAGTATTATTTTGCCCTAAATGTGACAGTTTCATGCTTCAAACGCAAGCCATCACATACAAAACTCCGTGTCGTATCTAAGGTAAGGCGCAGACTAAATTACTCAAATACGAATAAGATAATTGGCAGAAAAATTAAGTTTACTATTCTAACGAAGAAACTTCAACCTAAACGCAAGCTAAGTTTCAATTTCAGTCAGAAACAAGTAAAATGTGTTCCGTAAAGGCAGCATAATGAAACACATCTGCAATCAACCTCTTCGAGAACACATTGACATTCATCGATTAAACTTCCAAAGAAAATTTACAATTTCATCAAAATTGATACAATGAAAATAAAGTTTATTTATCAATTATTTCATACAAAAGGTCTTTTACGATAAGATGCGTTTCAACAAGCCGATGAAACACGATTGCAATTCTTCTCTCTCTGTATCCTTACCTCTCTTCGACATGTTGGATAGAGAAAGAGGATCAGTCAAGATCACGCATGCGTCTGATAGGACCCAGTACCTCTGGATATTTGTACCCGTGTGGGGTCAAGTAAGGTTGTTTTGCCAGTCGATTAATCGTTCTGTTCTCGACATTACTCGTATCTATTTTGACGAAAAAATTCAAAAAAATGGTAATAGAGACAAAAGTATGCTGTTTCACGAAGAAAATTTTCTGACCAGTTTGAAAGATAGAAGGCAAAGTAGGACGGGGAAGATCCAGAAGTGTATTACGAGTACTAGCGATCGGCTTGCGAAAGCTAATTATGGATACCAACTTCTCGGTCTTAATATTACTACAGTAAAATCAAAACAATGGCATACTACCACTTGTAGTGCCACTGGAAGCGATATCACTGACTAAGTCAGTATCCTACAAATTTAGGCGAGCGCAACGAGGATACGTTTATACCGAAACACTCCTGTTAGGTGTGTGAAGGTGTCTCTCCACCGAGCGCGAAGCATCGGGAGTGACTGAATATGGAATTTTGGGTTGGCATTGGACTCCTAGAAAGGGTACCGAACCAGAGCTGTTACGGATATCACCAGATCAGCCACGAGGGCGATGCGATGGAGATATCTGTAATAGCACCCTACGCTTCCGGATACGAGGAGCCACCAAGTCCATTAATATTTTCGTTGTATCTCGGATTTCACAGACATGTGGTAGTGAGATTGTTGATTTTGTGCAGCATTGAGGTAACGAACTGAGATCCTGGGAGAATTCGTATCGTAACTACCTGTGGTGGTTGTTACTGCGCTATTTGAAATTTTATGGCAATTATTACAATTCGGGTAAATTTAGGACCATCCTCATGCGCATGCGTTTCAAAAGGTCACAGTGATGTTAAATTTTAGTAGGCAATTAACACTTGTAACCTTCTCAATGTTGATGAATTTTAAAGATGAAAGTCTGTAGGGCCCCCTGCTCTATGAAGGAAATTGTAGACGGGAGATAAACCTTCACAGAACTCATTTCGTTACATGAAGTCCTGTGCTATGCCTTATTACAAAATACAACCCACACATGTCGTCTTCAGCGAACTTACTTTATCATTTGTCATTACTTATTTGTGAAAAACAAACAAATAAATAAACAAACAAAAAAGGGTAGAAGGAAAATGCGCCTTGAGGAGTTATTTTCTATTTTGGTAACGGCGCGCGCTAACTAGGACTGTCATCACCGGCACGAGGAGAACTGAAGATACACAACATTGTTTTTTCAACGGGCTGGACGCTCGGAGCTTCAGAATGCACGCTATGATTGTTTTACTAAACAATCTGACCATGATTTGAGAAGAGTAAGGGGAGAAATAGGTTAAAGGGAACTTACTCTACCTAGCGTGCGTAGCTGGCAGTTTTGCGTGCGCGTCACGGTTTTGTGTGCGTTGGATGGGCAAAGATGCTGCGAGTTTTCAAAACTATCTTCTGTCCCAAGCCTCTCGCAGCTTTGCTGTTCATTTCTTTGAAAAAAAATCTGCAGGCCAAAGTGCATCTTTGATCGGATTCTTGAATAACTAATAAACTATGAATATTGTGTGCAGCAATAATCCCGAGCATATTTAACATTTTGCGTGGCTCCTCTGGTGACTATTACTTGAATGAATATCAGTAACAGGAGCTCATTACATGAACGTAACGAGATTTTAAAATGAAAACAGGGTCAAGAGATGGAAAACCCCACAGAAATTTGAAACTTTCGTTAGATCTCTCTTTTTTTTTCGCTTTGCAGCACAACTTCGGTGGGAAACAGATACGGATTAAAAAAAAAAACAAACTAAAGAGAACGAGAGCTTAGTATTGCATAGTCTTATTTCTTATTGTCTACAAAAATAACCTTACCTGTCATTTTCCCAAAACTGACAACCATTGTATTCTGTCCCAGTAAAATTTCAGCATTCTAATTGTGTTGGGGATAGGGGAGGTCGCTATGTAACACCACGTGATAGAAAGATCCCGCTCTTATCTTACGCCCTACTTCGTCTTCCGTTTTCTGAAGATTTACTCGACCTATTCTGGCGAATTTATTATCTTCGTCTCGTCGTCTTGTAAGCTCAGCAATGTCAAAGCCAAGAGTTTTTTTCGATATCACCATCGGCGGAAGTTCAGCCGGACGAGTTGTGATGGAGGTAAACGACTGAACAATCTTCTGCAATATTCGACAGTACTAGAAAGCGTTGTCAGACAAAAGCTTCGGTATCTTAAAACGAAAAGGTCTCTCTGTACTTCTCTTCATCCTATTTTTTCCAATTAATCGTTTTCTTACCGTTCTTTTAACAGCTCAGAAACGATGCAGTTCCCAAGACTGCAGGTTTGTGCAAAATTTAATTTTATTTTGTTTCCTAGTTGACTGTAAGGTAATAGATAATAAGTTTAATCGTTTGCACGAAACAACTCCGATCAGTCAAATTTCACGTGTTGCTGCCGTTGAATTTCCTGGAAGAGCTCGTAATTGAACAAACTTAACTACAAACGTCAAAATTAGTCATCTCATCCTGAGTGAAACAGGATTTTGTCGTTTCGCTCAAAAAAATTTGCACCAGTCAGGTGAAAACTTCACGGCACGTGTTGTTGGGTCTTGTTGTATTTTCCCAGATGGTACTGTTAATTTTGAGAAACCAATTCAAGAGTCTCTTCCCAAGTCGAGAAATAGAATTCCTTCCCGGAAAATTCACTGAGCAAATTTGAGGATTAATTTAGACACATTTCAGTCCCTCCTCTTAACTATCGATGAAATTAGAGCAGTTTTTCAAAGGAGTGGTTAAACGAATGCAGGATGGAACGAGCTTTGCTTTACGATGCTGCATGATCGGATGAGAAAACTCGTGTTAATCTTTCAACCAAGTGGATGCAAAACTAGAGCTAATTGGCTAGGTCACTCACATGTACAGATTGCTCGCTTTTCGTGCGAATTCTGATTGTCACCTTAAGATCTTTTATCATCGCTCTGATTGGCTGTTGTGACGTCTTTGATTTTGAAGCTGGAGTCTGAGCAATGTTTAAGCGAGAAGAATTTGTAAGGGTTAGTCTTTCTTGCCAAGGCCTACAGTAATCCAATGGTTTTTTTAGTTTCTGAGTCAATGGTGCTCAAGGCAATGTAGACTCCTTGTCATGGAGTCAGACTGTGAACATTCCTATCATTTTTAGCGGCCTTACACATGCAGACATTGTTACAGTAACTTATTTGGGAGAATGGCAGAAAGCAAATTTCACTCCTTGAAACCATCACTTAGTCACTCCTTTCCACTCCTGTCAACTATTTACCCGCTAGTGTATAGGGATTTTGCGTGTTCATTTTAAGTTCCTGCTTGGGGCTCAGCTGATAGCAGTCTGCTGAGGAAGAATGTGTACTTAACCAACAGCTAAGATCTGAGACCAGATAATTTTACTAATGGCTGAAAATTGATGAAAATTAAGACTGAGTGCATAAGGTCTGAAACAAGGTTTAAACAAATTCTGCGCATACAAGGTGCTTGGATAAATTACTTTCAAGGGTGACAAGTTGTCTAACATTTCAGTATTTGTAGGCCTTGTTTTAAAACCTTGTCAATCCAGAATTTGAACACTTGATCGCCAAAAAAACGAAATATTGATGAACTATATTCTTAAATGTTTAAAACCACACCTTTTTTCCAAGAGCAGAAGAGGAAAGACAAACAATTTGCTTTGGTAATTGGCTTCTTGAATGCTGATTTCTGCTCAGAAAAAGGTGACGTTCTGGATGAAAACAGAAAAAACATGCTTTTGAAGAATACATTTAAAAACAGGGGAACAAAAGGAAAAAGAAAGAGAAAAAAATATTTTGCTACTGTCTTGAGTTGAATCCTGGCCCTTTACTTGCGAGGAGAGGCACAACCTTCTGTGCCAAGGGAGCAAATGTGATTTGAGACAAACCACGTGCTGTCAGTGAATGGACCAAAAGTTTTAATTCAGTGGCCTTAATATTTCATCCCTTTATAATTCCTTTTCTGAGTTCAGTAGCCCACAGCCACTTAAAATTTTATGTTTGTTCGCATCATTTACTTTTGGGTGCTTTTATAAGAGTCAAACTCAATTTCATCAGGAAAGTGGTAATTTTGATTTTAGGTGCACAATCATTACATTTATTACAGCATTCAATGACCTATTTACTCAGGGATAAGCCTAATGCTGGTAGCTTTTTTCTGGTCTGAAGTAACAGTCTACTAGTAATTGGTAACATGTCATGGCTGCACTACTGGTTTCATGAGTCACATCACCCTTGATTGCTTCCAGCCACATCACCTTTAGCTCAGCAAAATGAACCCTGTATGGGTTTGCCTTGTATTTAAGGGCCCCCTTTAACTAAAAGCAGCACTTGAGAAAGTCCACTTGGAGAGCTGAGCCTCATAAGAGGATATTTGAGACCCATTGTAAAAACGAAGAGCAACATACACCCTTGTACCCTTTGGGTGCCCATTTTTATTGGTGCACTATTGACTGGGTGATGCTTAGTGTATGGAAGTTCAGTGAAGTTCATGATACCAATAAGCTATGATCAGGGGGTTGAACAGGTCTGTCTTTGACTCACCCAGTTTTAGCTATTGTATGTTTTTTTTTAAATGATATTCCTTTTTAGAGAACTTCCGTGCACTGTGCACTGGTGAGAAGGGATTTGGCTACAAAGGAAGTAAATTCCATCGAATCATTCCCGGGTTTATGTGTCAGGTAAGTTTCTGTTACTGCTTTAGTTACAAATATAAATATTATCTTACCCAATTCTTATTAACACTAAACTGTAAATCATTTTTTATGCTCATTAAGTTGATCTTCCCCTCATGGCCACCTTTCCACAGTAACCTCCTCATTTGTCCCAGCAAGTGTCCCACACAGTAACCCTTAATTTGTTCAAAATTGTTTCTGTCGTACACACCCCTTCCTTGCCATAACAGTCTCTTCTTTACACTGGTTATTTTAAGGTTGTTGTTGTAGAGAAGTTCAAGGGTTTTCAACATTAAGAAGTCAAATGCTAATTAAAAAATCAGATACTGATG